AATATTCTCCACACATTTCAATGATTTGTACCATTCTGATCTAATCGCAAAAAATTGAGTAAAAAATGAGTTTTTGAAAAAAGACTAGGTAGAAGATTTACAGATGTTTTGAGAAAAGAGACACTGTACTCCCTCATAAAAAGCCATAAGAATAAAAGAAGGCTATAACTTTGGAGCGCGTTAAACGGCGGTTCTAATGGCGTTTGAATAAAGTTTCCACCTCATAGGAAAAAAAACTAGATACATCTACAAAGTCGCGCACCACGAGGATGAGGGGTGATACCACCCCGAATTCTTTATTGGACACGGTACATGCAATCAGTCTTCAGTTAACATTTCTATACTCAGTTTTTCATGAGGAATCTGAATATCACCTCAAAAATTCAAAAAAGTCGAGCAAAAAAACAGTTATTGCATTGTTTCTGAAAACAAGAGTTTTTCATGTTTTTGACTATCACTCAGTATTTTGAGTGTTTCTCTATGAATACTTGACTTAAATCAAATAATAAGGTGATATTCGTGATCAGCAGCTCACGACAAATCAGAATATGTGTGAAAAAACAAAAAATAAATTTTGTGGAAACTTTGCATTACTGGCACCTTACTTGTATAGCTTTTTGAAACATGTCTTAAATATTGATTTTTTCGTAAGATTGCGAATGAAAGACGTGGTGTCGCAGCCCGTAAGAGCGTGTAAAGTAATTATTAGTCTCGGATCAGAATGGCACAAATCATTGAAATGTGTGGAGAATATTTGCGACGAGAAAATATGTAAAAATTTTTGTTCGTTTCTTCCGGTTATTGACTAATTAGTACTAATTAACGTTAATTTAGTCTACTCTACTAGCTTAAAGTCCCATTTGTAAAATAAGGACTCAACGAAAAATTTCAAGCAATACCTCATCTGATAGAGAATTTCACGAGCTACAAGATAGGCCCNCTTTGTTTCCAAAAAACATAGCAAGTTGCTGAATTCACTACTGTTATCACCCAAAAAAAAGCAAGTATATACAACTGATATCTCTAATGAGCTCCTGCACCATATTCAGAAATATCACGTTCAGCTGTCAGTGATTTTGAACGAGCTTGTTTTTTCCGTTCAATTACTGTCTCTCGTTTTGCTACTACAGACTCGGCCTTCGCAAGACGTTTTGAATCTTTTGCTAATGAACTGTCCAATAATGAATAATTAACATCTAATCGTAATGTATCGAAAAATGGTAACAGACCAACACGACCACGATTGAAAATTATAACTGCCTCAGCTGCTGCACCCCTAACACTAATAAAGCCATGAGAAAAACTCTCAAGTCTTGAAAAAAGGTGTGAAAAAACTTCTAAGGTAGCCTGTCTTGTAGCTCGTGAAATCCTCTATCAGATGAGGTATTGCTTGAAATTTTTCGTTGAGTCCTTATTTTACAAATGGGACTTTAAGCTAGTAGAGTAGGCTAAATTAACGTTAATTAGTACTAATTAGTCAATAACCGGAAGAAACGAACAAAAATTTTTACATATTTTCTCGTCGCAAATATTCTCCACACATTTCTCTATCGATCTAGGCAAGAACTAAGTTTTCATGATGAATGGAGAATGCA